TTTGTTTCAAAACAAAATTATTCATTTTACGAGTAGATAAAGGCAATTTTGGTATATAAAGATGCCCAAACAGTTAAATAGTCGGTGTAAGGAACTCGTGACCTCGTTAATGCACTACTTTGAGCAAGAAAGGGACAACAACGGGCCTTTGTTGCCTTTAAATGCTGTTCAAGAGGTAGGTTACTAATAATTATATGTAATGTATATTAATAATAGTGAAATTTTATTTCATTTTTTGTAGCGTGTTGCTGCTGCTTTAAAAATTAGTTTAAGGACAGTTAGTCGTATTTCCGAGGGTGTGAAAAGTGATGCAAATTTAGAATCGCCCAAGAAAAAGCGGAGTTATATTAAACGTGTAACCAACACAGCGACATTGGATACAAGTGTCATTCTATAAGTGATCTATAATATGTATCACAAAAGTAAGATCTTATTATAATAACTTATCAGAAATTTGCATTAATTTGTTAACTAAATTATAATGTCATATTACACATGGTTTCAGAAGAACAAGTTACGATACAAACTTTATGGTCTCGATTAAGAGATAGGGCATTATTTGATGGTAGTGCCACGTCTTTAAGGCGGTTGCTTAGAGATCTTGGATTTAAGTGGCTTAAGGACAATCCGCGACGAGGGCTCATGGAACTACCAAGTATAGCTTTGAAAAGGGTGGAATTTCTAAGGCAATACAATCAAGCCAAGGTTGAGGCCTTATACCAGTTTGTCTTCCTCGATGAAACTTGGATATTTCAAAATGGGACCATAGGTCGCTCTTGGCAAAATGGAAACCAAAAAAGCGTGAAAGGTATTAAAACAGATGGTAAAAGGTATGTACTTTTACACAATTTGCACTATAAAATTTAATACTAATATATTTTAGATACATTATATTACATGCTCGAAATGAAAATAGGTTTATTGAGGGTAGTGAAGCGATATTTTCTTCGAAAACAAAATTGAGCGATTACCATGGAGAGATGAACCAGGACAATTTTTTGAAATGGTTTCAACATCAGTTATTAGAAAAATTGGAGAGTCCATCTATGATTATACTGGATAACGCCCCTTATCACAGCATGATATTGAACAAAGTGCCCAACAATGCATGGACAAAAAAAAATATCCAAGACTGGTTGACAAATCAAAACATACCATTTTTAAACACAATGTTTAAAACAGAGCTATTGAGTATTGTTGCTCGGTACATAATGCTTCTTAATTATATATATTTTGGTCGACAGTTTATATTTCTTTTGTTTATTCCTATTCTTAAAATAACTGCTTTTTTAGAAACAAACCACCTAAAATATACGTGATTGATGAATTGGCGGAACAACATGGGCACAAAGTTCTTCGTCTGCCTCCTTACCATTGTATATTTAACCCTATTGAGTTAATTTGGGGCATAGCAAAAGGTTACTATAACAGACATATTGGTAGAGATGGTAACAGTGAAAAAGACTGTTTGGATATGTGGAACGAGGCTCTACAAACGGTTACCCCAGACATGTGGAAAAATAGTGTTCGACATACTGAGCAAGAAATTTTTAAATGGTATGAAAGAGAACGAATTTTTGATCGACCAGACATCGAACCTTTAATAATCAACTTTGAGAGTGATGAAGATTCAGATTCAGACAGCGCTGAAGAAAGAAACTCCGACTAACTTTATTGTACAGAAAAAGCTTACACCAGTAGCTTACCTAATTTTAGAATGCATTTTTCTGTATGAATTCTGTAAAATAAATACCATGCATAAAATTTGGAGGACCCCATTTGGATTTTTATTCAGTACCTTTAAGCTATCAATTAAATATGGTAGTTTCATAGTGTCATCTGATCAATAATTGTCATACTTAATGATTATGCAAGTACAGATCTATAATTTTATTATACTATTATTTTTGTTCTCATTTGAGGTTAATATTGCTTATAAACCTAGATATGTAAATAATAAATTTTATTATTTTACAAAAAGTTTGGCAACAATGTAAATTTTTCAACACACCCACCTTGATGACGTGCACGCCACTTTGTTTGGCGTTGACTATACAAAAGTTCTGCCAACATTTTCGGTATTTGACAGATGAAGTCTCTGTCTTATATCTGTTTGACAAGGACGTAAATGAGGAAATCAAAGTAAAAATTGTTGATAATTTAGCCAAAGAAAGACTATCAGCCCACGGTAAATGCTGCGTCCCAGAAAGAAGTGACTTTCTGGTCCACTTTATGGTAAGTCTGATGAATAAATGTTTTTTTGTGTTCTTTCACTGCTTCGATATAATATGCTAACTGTTAAAATAAGTTTGCTATTCAAATAATATATGCCACCTTCTACTGTCTTGTTTCGATAGATCTTATACCTCAGATCTATGTTGCTACGCTTTCGTTCGTCGTTCTGACCTGAGGCCAAGCCTAGATGATGGTGATAAGTAGCCAAAAAGCATAAAACATCTGTCCATGGTCCTGTGGCTTAACAGACAAAACCAGTATGTTTAGATGGTAGCTATTCTTCGTTTTTTCATTTCAGAGAAAAATATTGCTTAAATCAAGAGCAAATCCTTGATCAGTCGACTCACAGTGTTCTCGACGAGTGTCCAACTTCATGGCCACATAATAATTCTTTTCAACACGCTAAGAGTAAGGCGCAAGCACTGTGAACAGTCAACGATAGGGCAGAAAGAGCAGTCAAGTTGACGCAGGGCTTCCACTTAATCATTGCTGATGAGAAACAAAAACAATTTTTATCGCGTTGAGTCTAAGAACACAGGCAGGTATATCCTCAGTATAAAAAGAAAACTGTGAAAAGAAAATGTAGTAAATAATGTTCTTTTAAAGATAAATATCTAAGAAATATAAGATACAAATAAAGCAGTGTCTTATTTGTCGGATCGCGAAAAATATTTATTTTTTGAATTGTTAGAGTCAAATGGAAAAAATAGAAGATACATCTCAATTCGAATACAAATCTTTTTACCCTCTTAGGCTGGGACACCCTAGTATAGAGTGCTCTGTAGGTATTCGATGTTAGTTTGGATATAACAGCGTTGGCACACTAAATGGCCTGTTTCCAGGGCAAGACCTATACGCCACTGATTATTGCTAACTAGCATGAAACGGAGCTGTATACGCCTGGTCACAAATATGGATAGCGAACAAGCCAATTTAGAAGGCCAAAACACACCCATGGGTACCGTAAGGCTATAGGGAGATACAGAGAAATCGGCGGACGCTCACGACCTCTAGCGAGAGGGATCCGCCAGGTGGTACCTCCGCGCTGGACAGTCAGATACCGTCGACCACCTACGAGTGACACTACTTGAGATATATTCAAGTAATTGAGAGTAGTAGGACAATGGCAACTGTTTTTTCTTGGCCTTGGAAAACGACACCTCAGAAGATTTGTCAAAGGGGACAACTTTTTAACCAAAAACAACTTCACACCCCCTTTCACCCTCGACTCCTCAGGATCATTCCCTTAAAAATTTTAAATGACGTTTAGTTTTTTAAAATCAGATGATTCGTTTTCGAGAAAATTCGAAAAATCTTTATTTATCTTAATTTGTTCAGATTGAAAACAAAAACAAACGACAATATCACGTTTTAATTCAATAAGTGTTCAATATGTTGCCCGTTAGAGTTTGCCAAATATACAATTCGTTTATAATTCAAAACAAAAACTACCAACGTAAACAGCAATTCGGAAGATTAGACATGGCAATAACCTAATAACAACACGAATTTTTTTCCGCATTATTTTCGTCAACCCAGATATCCTGGGTGAACTGTTTATTTTTAGTTTAGTTATTTGTTGCTAAAGGAAATAAAAAATTTAATTTAATTAGGATAGTGAAAATTAATTTATTGATTCAGATTTTACTTCTAGAATGGTTTACATACTATCCAAAAGAGTGGAAGTTATTTTAATTTATCATCGAAAGCTGCCAGGATATCCCCAACATATTTTTGATAATGTCCGTCAGGAATTTGAACATCGCCTATATCATTGTTTGGCCAATAACGGGAAACGTTTTGAACACTTATTGAAATAAAAAGTGATATTTTCGTGTTTTTGTTTTCTATCTGAACAATTTAAGATAAATAAGGTTTTTTCTTATTTTCTTGAAAACGAATCGACCGATAAGAAATCAAACGTCAAAATAAAGGACATTGAAAGGCCTTTTAAACAAGCTATTACTCGATACCCCATGACATTTAAATTTTTCAAGCGGATGACCCTGGGGGGAAGAGGGATTAACATCTTAACCGTGTTGCCAGAATTCGGATGTGGTTGTATGTATCGTGTTATAAAAATATTAAATGCGAGAATATTCGCAATACCCGGAAGTTAAATAGATGCGCATATATTCGTCGTTCCCGTAATGTGATATCCTTACAGATAGAAAGTATGCGTATATACTCGTTTCACTCGATAGGGAGAGCGTATGAATAAGATCATAAAAATGCAAGCATGTATCCAATAATTCCAGTTACTCTATTGAAAATTATTGACAAAAAAGCTCACTCAGCTAAACCACGACTGATATAAACCAAAACATGGCGCAGCACACAGTCCAGTTTTACATGATTCGCACCAATATATACTTTCTTTCCTCTTGCCTTTCTCTCTACACACTACACACCTTTTGGTCGGTTTCTTTTTATGTGCCGTGGATGGTATAACAGATGGAAAATGTTTCTCAATCAACCGAATTGCATTTTTTGTTTTTGATCGTCTACCTGCATTGCAATACTTATCTCTTCCATATTTTACTATCAGTTTTTCGGCTAAATCTATTACAAAGTTCAGATGTGACTTCCTACCACCAAGTTTTTTGTAAAGGATGTAACTGTTTAATACAGTTATATCTAAGAAATGAAAAAATATTTTTCTGTAATATTTTTTGAGGTGTGTACGTGGCATTGCATAAAAATAAGGCATGTTGTCTGTCAAATCTACTCCACCCATGTTTTTATTATAATGCTCTATCCTATAACTAACTACTGGCTTTTTCATTACCTTCCCTCTGTTTTTTTTTCTCTACAAACTGATTGTCATGTAAAGTACTTATCATCACTATTTCTTTTTTATCTTTATACTTCAGAAACATAATTTTCTTCCTAAATAAAGCACATGCTTCTCCGTGTTCCAACTTTTTCTGCTTCAGCTCTTTTGGTATACCTTTCCTATTCAACCTCACTGTGCGAACACAATCTGTGCGCCTCATCGATAACTTTTCTGCCAAGTCCACGCTAGTATAGTAGTTATCGAGAGACAGACAATAATCATTATCTAAGATATTATTTGAGAGTTCTAATACCACTCTAGCTGATAAAGGTTCACTCACGAAGCTGTTGCCATAGTTTGTATCAGCTCCGGTAAATATCAAAAAGTTATAGGTGTAGCCTGTTGAGCTTTCAGCTAAAATAAATAGTTTTATCCCAAACCTTTTCCTTTTAGATGAGATGTACTGTTTCCACGTTAGGCGACCTTTCCAACCTAGTAGTGACCCGTCAATGGAAATTCTTTGTTCAGGAATGTAAACCTCCATAAACCTTTTTTGAAGCTGATCTAGGACAGGTTTGATTTTGAATAGCTCCCTCTGAGAAGTGTTTTCGTCAATTTCGTTATTATTAGAAAAATGTAGGAACTTACATATAAGTGCAAACTTCATCACCTTGGAAAAAAAGGTGTTTCTATGCTTTCCCTTTTCGAAAAGTACATTTCGTATGATGGTTTTACGCAAACACTTTGTAATAACAACAATCCAAGAAAAGTTTTTTTTCATTAGCATCCGTTTGAGTCCAGGCGCGAACTCTTGAACAAGGCCTGATATTTTCATGGTTCTTGATAATGAACTGACTGGCGTACCTAGAATAAGACAAATGTAGAATATTCATAACAAGTGGAGAATAACACCATTTTACCTATTTGTTTCTTCTACTACAAGGTTTGTCAAATGCTGATCCATGAATAATTCAAATATCTCCAAAATATTATCCGAGCTAATATCAGGAACTTTTATACCAGGATCTGAAGTGAAGAGAAAGTTAGGGCGCGGTATACCTTCTTTGACCCAAGGTACCTCTATGTCGCCTGAAGCCTCTTCTGATCCATCTGCCAAGAATAAGTCGTCGCAGCTTGATAAATCATAGTCAGTATCAATAGAACTGTTAGATAAAAGATCGTTGTTGTAATCGAATGAAGATTCACTCGCGTCAAAGATTACAAAAAGGTAGCGCGCAAAACGTCTGTACTCCATCCTAATCAGTCCTCAAGTGAGCTCATTTAACAGAAAGCACCAAGTTTTGTATACCATTCGAACGTGCGAAGAGTGGGGATTCCCATAGAACATAATAGCGACTATATTCGTATTATTCGTGAAATGCGGCGTGTAGAAAGGTGAGGCGAATATTCCTCGTACTACCCAATCAAGTTAGTTTATTACTTGATGAATATATTCGTCATATTCGGTTAAGAGGTTAAGGGGGTGATGTAGCTTTTGGTTAAAAAGTTGTCCCCTTGACAAATCTTTCGACGTGGCTCGGCGTTTTTTCTTTTAGTCAGTGGTTTAAGATAAATCCGTGGTAAGAAGTTTTCAAAAGAACACCCTATATATTGTATATTTTGAGCTACTGAATACAGGAACAAAGTGTCACGTAGCTCGTCAAGATGTGTGAGTTAAAAATATGCAAACACCATCAGGGATGCAGTGTATATCTGTGAGAGCATTCTGAATATATTCAAATAACTGGGAATAAACAAGGCTGCCGTTCTCGCGGAAATCGGGATGGCGGCGGCAGTTGCTTTATATGCATGGAGATGTCTTCCATATTGGGGCGCAAGGAAAACTCGTTCAAATGAAAACTTTTTCGTTTCGAGATGCTCGTTCTAGCTTCACTGCCGTTATATTCTAAACACCCTTTCCGATTTGCATAAATTCGCAGCAGGCCACAGCCTTTCGGCTGCTGGAGTTTGAAAAGCGAATATTAACAAATTTTTTGAATTCGGCAAAGTCCAAAGTTGTTAAGATTGTTACTTTCTATGTAGCTAACTTTCTGACCGCATTTTTTTACTTCTACCCATTTCACTCGGTTTCTGTATGAGTTAACAAGAAACGGTGCGGCCCGTCGCATATTAGTCCACATCGTTTCTGCTGTGAGGCTAGAATATGCATTTGGTAGTACGTCAAACAATCAGCTAAAATATAGATGGAATGACCAATGGGTCAGAACAGTAGGTATACGTCTTTATCAAAAAGCGAAAGTTTGTATGTTAAGTGTTCTGTTAGAATATTGTCATATAAATCGACCTACTAACATATTAGGCCTTGTACCCTAGTAGTGGACTGCCAGAGAGCATACTGTAACGCCATCTCAACTCTGAGCAACAATGAGACATCCTCGCAGCGTCGACGCTTAGGCGAAAGCCATTTAGCAATCTTCGATAAAGGCTCGAGTTCTATCTGGAAGGCTTCTGGAAATTGTCGATTCGACCATATGTATACGCGTGCCGAGTGCTGGCAAACAGAGACCAGTCGTCACTGTCATAAGTTTGTAATAAATGAGTTGGAAGTGTCTTTTTTACACCTAAATGCCAGGGCACCGCGGCTGCTAAGAAGATCCGAAAGAAACTTTGTTGATACGATTTTTGAACTGCTCAAGGTTAGTAGTACTCCAGAATCTCGACACCCTAGGGGCTAAGGAGCGGTCTTATCGGCCAGTTCGGGATGTACGAAGTTCGACACGGTTAAGATGGAAGGCCGAAGTCAGGCGGGTCAGTCAGGCAGGAGTAGCACGTAGGGACATAATGTAGGAGAGCTCTGAGGAGCAAAGCCCGTTGGTGTAGTGGTAGAAGGGAGCTAGATCGTCGACGGCCCACCAGTGCGACAGGGTTCCGAGACTGTCTGCTAGAGAAAAGTCATCGATTATTTGGACAGTGGACAGCATCGAGCAAGAATAATGTAGTCGGGGCAACAGCAACCCAAACGTGTGAGCAATACTCGAGGCTAGGTCTTATCTGGACCTTGTATGAAGTGAGGAAGTCTTGTGAAAATAAGGACTCCTTAGTCCTAAACAGATAGCAGCTGCCAATATTGACTAGATGTGTTCGTGCCAGATCAATTCCTCGGTGACGTGGAGTCCGACTAGCTGCAATGACCAGCTGTTTGGCAGACCTCGGCCATCCATCGAAACCAGATGAACTCGCTGCTAGTCTTTTTTTCCAGATCTAAATTCCTGCACGAAGAGTGCTGTCATCAGCATAGTTGTGGATTTGATTGGTCGTACGGGAAAAGATGTCGTTGATATGTAACAGGAACAGTATCGGAGCATCGGAGCCAAGGCCGGTCCCTGGGGAACACCCGCGTAGACTTTGTGGGATGAAGATTAGAACCCGTCAATTACGACGAATATATTGCGGTCAGAAGTCAACCATCTATCTGAAAAGCTTCTATGGGAGGCCGTAAGATGAAAGTTTGCATAAGAGCGCCACAGCCGATTGAACGCTTTCGTGCTATCAAGAGCAACGACATGAGAGTCACCATAAGACTGGATGAGTTTACTCCACAATTACGCGACGTAAGCTAGGAGGTCCACTGTGCATCGTTGGTGCCAGAAATCGTGGACGTTCGAGGTAGTCCAGAAGCTCGCGATTTATGCATCTCTCCATCATCTTATAATAGAAAGCAGAGCTATAGACCTGTAGTTCTAGTCTAGTCTTCGATATCTTTTTTTGGGATGGGTTGGATATGAGGAAATTTACAGTTTTCTGAGAAGGTGCTGGATTATCAAGATATCTGGAAGAGCCGCTGCACACCCCTTCGATACAGCGGCAGGAATTAACTGCGGATCAGAAGCTTTGTTGATGTCGAGCGACAAGAGCACCCATCTCACGGTCTGAATTTGGAATGTAACTTCCCACATAGTGTACGAAACCCTTTGAATCGACGGCACTCGGGCGATGGGAGGGACGTCCATGGTGTAGTTAGCAGCAAAGATCTTGGCAAGCACTTCAGCCTTCCGCCTGTGTTGTAATAAATTAGTGTGGGAGTAATAAATTAGACTTCAAATCGTAAAAACAGTATTTCGTTACAATAATGCAGCCCAAGTGTAGCACTTGCGCTTGAATGTATAGACCAATCTGGATGTGTCGGATTTAAAGTTCTAAGTTAATAATTGGCTTTCTGTTATTATGGTGGTATAAAAAATAGATCGGGTGAATTGTAAAGCAGTATGTACTCTTCTGAACAATAACTTATTTCAAGCAACATACAGAACCCACGGTTCACCAATTGTGCTAGTGTAGTCTGCACAAAGGACACCGCATCATTCCTAACTTGGCTCCCGGATGGTCTCTCCCTGTATGCTTATCTCGTCTGGAGTTACTTCCACATATGGCTAACAGATCGCATGACAAGGTGAAATTAAGTCTCCTGAACTATAACTTCTCCTAGGAAGAAAGATCAGAGTTTTTACAAAGCACTCCCCATCGTTGCCAGTCAGGCGCTCAGTCGCTATCACCCTGTATGGGTATCTATCCAGGATAATCTTAGGCATCGCTAACATATCGAGAAAACCATTGCAAACATGCATTCTCATCAACTATGATTTTACTTCAAGCGACAACCGAAACATCAGTTCACCGCCTGAGATATTGTCAAATAAGCCAGTAGCAACGCCTGGCTGTGTGAGTTACCTTCAGGCATCGCTAATAGATCGCCTTGTGGACTATAACTTAGTTCAAGCAGGAACCGAAACCCACTCTCCACATCTGTGCTTGTATCAAACGAGCCTGATTTGTCTGACTGTGTGAACGTAGTTTGAATAGGCAATACCTGGACAGCTTGTCGAGGAAGGAAAGTCATAATTTTCACTAAGGGCATCTTTCCCATGCAGGCTCTCGCTCAGTATCTCTCAGTATGCATCTCTACACAAGATAATCTTGAACATATCTCGAGAAAACCACAAAACAACATGCATTCTCATCAACTAGCATTTTATTTCAAGCAAAAACCAAAACCCTCAGTTCACTGCCTGTGCTTGTGTCAAAGCAGCCAGTACCAATGCCTGATTGTGTGAAAGGAGCGGAGTCAGAGTAAACAGTGTTTCATAGATTGGACAAAGGACACCGCATTGTTTCCAGCTTGGTTCCCTGTTAGTCTCTACCTGAATGCTTATCTCTATCCGAGTTACCTTCAAGCATTGCCTTCTGAACTATAACTTATGGCAAGCAAGAACCGAAATCCACGATCTGACTGTGTGAACGCAGCTTAAATAAGCAGTGCTTTGACAGAATGAAGGAAGATCATAGTTTTCACAAAGAACACCGCAGTATGCATCTCTACCCTACTACTATTCGTCATTATTCGTCAGAGCGGTCCGGTGGACCTTTGCTCTTAGTTAAAAGTCTCGTCGGTCTGTTAGTCTGGCTACCCAGATACCAAACGTGTTTAAGGGGAAAAGGGAAAGAAGGAAAGAAAGGAAGGGAGAAATAGAGCAAAGAAAAGAAGTAAACCATTTTAAATAGCTTAAGCATTATTGCTTTGATTACTCGAGTTATTTTGTAACTCCAAAAAATGATTTTGATCGGTTTTGTATACTGAAATAATTTTGGCTGGCCTGAATTTACAATTTAATTTTGATCACAGTGCGAGGCGCGTCCTGGAATGTTTGC